GAAGGAGAGAATAGAAATTATTTTTTTTCCTCTTTGCTCATGCATGCACAAACTTTCGATTTGGCTTTGGTAAACTGCCTTCTTTTAACCTAGGAGTTGTTTTCCATCTTATTTTCTCTCCTCTGTCCAGCTGAGAAGGGGGAGTAATAGATCATCTTGGTGGGCACTGGTTGTCTAGCCAAAGTCAGCTCAACACGATAGGGTAGCTTGTATCGTGGTCATTGTACAGTGTAGGGAAAGATGGCTTACTACCAATATTTACTTGTTTTGGGAACGAATGGAGCACTCATTTGTGGACCCTTTAACCCACAGTAAAGTCATTGAAGTGTCTGTTTGCTTTCTTTCATATATTATAGACTGAAAGAGATAAAAAAATGAAATTTAGCTTGATTAAACTCAACATGTAACTTTAAAAATTTTATTTGCTGTTTATCACCAATTAGGAAAAACACATGTATAATTTTCAAAAAATTTCCTTCATGGATTAGGAGTCAGAGGAGTAAGAGGCAAATACAAAACAAGATTGCCTAATGGATAGTAAAAGTGGGAGATAGAAAAATAGCAATCACTTCAGGAGGAAGCTTGAAGCATACATTTAGCAAGAGTCTGTTAATATAACACTATTTTAGTCTGTTTGTGGTGAAGCATACTCAAGGAAAAGATGTGTCAGGATTTATGCAAATATGAGAAACTTAAAACACCTGAAACCTTTCTGAAATGAAATGTACTCTAATATTACTGCATGGTTTTTTCCCTAACATTTAGGCTCTATTAAACTTGGTGTGTAGTATCAAGGAATAGATTCAAAGGCATTTTCTGGTGTATTGAATGATATACATTGCATGGGTTTTTGTATAATATTCATGCTGATGGAATTAATTCAATACAAATTTTCAGCTTCCTTCGTTATCAGGCACCATCAGCTTCCTAACAGGCAAATTTCAGAAAGGTCTTTTAGATTTTTCTTATTGAAAATCCCTGACCAGTTCTTTGATCTGAATTGCCAGGATCTCAGATTTGATAGTTTTTGTGACATTTGTTTGAAGATCTGCCTTTATTAGTCTGTCTGATAAATATGAACATTTGTCATGTCTGATATGAACATGAAGCTGTATTGCTCTCTCAAGGGAAGCAGTGTTGTGTCTTCCTTTTTTTCAGCTTCCTGGATGCTGAACGCTGCTTGCATCTGTTCATAGCCTTCCCACAGAGGAGCAGTGGCAGCAGTACGAAACTGATACTATCTTTTAAAGCTGCGCAGCTGCTGGTATGGCTCTGAGTCACAGCAGTGAGGTTGACCACAATCTTGTTAATGCACTGCTATTTGAGCAGTCAGTTAGTAAAAGCAGAGTCACTCAGCTGATCAATGATAGACTTTGGAATAAAGTGCTATGATTTTTATTTGGTTCTTGCTTGAAAAACTTAAAAGGAAAGATGAAATAATATATGAATTCCTACTATAATTTCCATAGCAAAATCAAACCGTGTGCTCACTGTGGGCAGGTTTGAAGAACTTACCTTTTTAAGAAGGAAAAAAGAGGAAGAAAAAGGGTGGGGCCATCTAAGGCACAGTACAAAATGAGGTTTCTTTCTTTTAATCTACTAAATGAGTTGTTTCAATTCATACATAAAGGATTTTTAATAGTTCTGTTGGTATTTCTCTTGTGTGTTCCCATCTTTTTCAATATAAATTTCTCTGACTGTAAAAGATTTGGGTAATGTTATTTGTAGGCATAGGTGGTATTTGTAGTGGATAGTAAAGTGTATCTTTTTTAATTTTTAAAAAACTTTATCTCCTTTATGTCAGAAGTTTGATAAGTTGAATTAAACCCCAGAGTTTAAAATGATCCTTCCTAATTATTAGCAAGGCCCCCTTGCTTTTTTATATAAATGAACTAGAAGCAAGTTAGATTTTTTATTAGCTTACAGCCATGTTCCTTCGTGTTGTGTTTTCAACATCATAATTGTTTTTCAGTGACATGTATGGTACCGTCTTCCTTCTTCTGTGAAGCTTGCTGATCTTTTTTTTTTTTTTCTGTGACTGTCCTACATTGCTCATGGCCTTGTCTTTTGGTAGGATAGACTTTCTCTTTTGAACTAATTACTGCAATTTGTAACAAATAATCATGAGCTGTACTGCACAAACTATTTTCTTCCTCAAATTCAAACCCAGGTTTGTTTTTCTTATTTTATTTCTTAACCTTATTTCAAGAGACAGGCTTTGCCAGCATTTCAGCTTTTATTTCGTTTTTATGTTGACTGTATTCTCACTTAACAATATTCTTAATTGGGCTTTCCTGACAGCTTTTTTTCAGTCATTTCATTCATTAACCTGTGCCTACAGAGAGTGTTCTTTCTGTGTGGTTTTCTTGCCTCTAAATTTTCTAATTCTTTTAGTTAAATTTCTAAAGATGGTTACTACTTTTTCCTCTTCTTTTATGTACTTTTCCTGACTTTATCTGCACTTAATTTTAGTTCCCTTAAGCTGGTTTGATTTCAAATCCCTTTTGACTGCATCAGCACTAATAAAGTGGACCATTGTCTGGTATTGAGGACAGCTGGCACAGATTGAGATTTGTCCTTTCTGTTAATCTTTCAGCCTTCAAAACAGGTAGCTATGTGCAGTACCATTTGGAAGTTTTCCCAGCCATGTGATAACCCTCAGATTGTTCCCAGAGGTTGGAAGAGTGCAGTTGGCCTTTATCAAAAGTATTTCAGGACTTGTTCTGACATGATGATTTGCATTTTAGTGTCTGGGAAAGTTTTAGTCATTAATATATTGATGTAACCTTTAAGGTTAACTTTTATAAAGGCAGTAGTCAAGCCAGTTACCAGCTAGGTTAACTCAGTTTTATCTGTGATCTGCTTCCTAAAAGGCCTACTCTGTGAATCATTATTATTAAATTTTGTGCTTTGAATGATTCTACTAGCTGTCTAGAATGAAAAAAAAAAAGAAAACAACAACAACAAAAAAAAAGAAATAAACAATCTAACAATCTCTCTCAACAGTCCTTCCAAGTCCTCATCCACTTAAATTTTCTGATTTGGTAATTTATAGGAGGTCTACACTTTCCTTCTCACTGTAACTTTCTCATTCTAATGTTATGTGGAGTGTTTGGCTTCTGTTGCATTCTGGATCTCAGAACAAGTATACAGATCTTAAGATATTCAAGACAAGATTCCTGCTCCACCATATATATCGGTCCTTCCTGAGCCAAGTATGCTCTCTAACACTATGGAGTATCCCACTAAATGTGTTGTGTCAGTTGAGTTATATTTTTGTTTACTTTCTGAGATTTCCAGCAACCCTTAGTTTTATTCCCCATAGTTCTTGTGTTAGTTTACTGAGAATCAGAAGTTCACAAGGAAGCTCTGAAGATAGTCTACTGTTTACCACCTTCTCCTCCCTGTGACCCTTTAACTACCCACGCTTGCCACTCATTACTTTGGAGCTGTGATCTAGGTTGCCATTTGTAAATCTTGTTATTTTATCAAAGAGGACACTCTTTGCCTTTAATTTGCTCACTGGTGATTTGAATGACAGCAAATTTTTAGCCTGCTAGGCTGGGAAGCACAGATGGCACTTCATATGGCTGAGAAAAAGTGGAACTCTGGGGAAAAGAAACATATGTTTTCCTGGATTTTAGAGAACTAAGAGAGGTCCAGTGCTTGAAGTGTTTTTCCAAATTTTCCCCAAATTTGTGCTACACATGCAATAGTGTAATGTGTGAGCAATGTCACTCTAGCATACATGAACCTTTATAAAGTGAAAAATGTAGGGCTGCAGACACTGAACAACAGTGACTTGTCTTCCAGGAATAATAGGATGTGTCAGCCAGGGACAAATAAATAAAATGGAAAAATAAGTCAAGTGGTTGGGCCAGTCAGTGTGTCTTGAAGGAGGGGAGCAGGAAAGAACTTGCATAGGGTCACATTGATTAAAAATATGCTTATATTTGGGATGTTATTTAATAACTTAATTGTTTGTCTCTTTAATACATTCATAAAAGAAATCAGTGGATTTTGTACTGTTCTGTGTACTGTATCAGTTTTGTAGACAGTGCTGAGTTTATGCCTTGAGAAATGATTATGAGTGAAAATTTCAATATCACGAAGGAACTTTATACCTTATAGCAACTATTTTATATTTTCTTCTGTAAGGAATAAGCACTAAATGATACTGAATTTTGCTCCTAACTGTTATTTGTGCTATTAAAAATGGTGTACTCTTGGAACAAGGTCGAAGTGTCAAAGTCATATCTGATAAAGAAAAACAAGTGTGAGGTGATCTTTGTCTTTTAGGTTTGTTTTGAGGAATAGTGAGGAATAATGCTCCCAGATCTTGTTTGATTGAAGTGGAATTTTATTGAACAACTGTATGTCCTTCTCAAACCAGTGGTAATCAAAGCTTATTTGAAGGGGAACCTCCTTTACAGAGTTGAACTGCAGAAAGAATCCTTTGCACTTCTCTGCAAAACAGCTAATTCCCGAGAGCTTTCTTCTGTGTGCAGTAGAAGTTAGATGATTTGGCTTTGATCCTTGCATATTATGGATTGAATATATTCCACCTTTTTTAGCTCTAGCAGTAAGGAATCATAAGGAAAAAAACACCCAACCAAGCCCTATGCCATTATATAATATATATTGATAACCTTATTTTTTTTTAATATAATCATTAAAAAGATGATCTGCCCCTCTGTTTCCCTGGGATGTTCTTTCTTTCCATATTTGTTTAAATAAATTTGCTTAGTATCAGCAACTAATAATGCTACCAGACAGATGGATTGATGGGTATAAGAGAAACGAAGTTCAGTTTTTCAGTTAAAAACTACTTCTCTATTAGAATACAACAGTATATCTTAAAACTGGAAGAATCATGTTCTGAGCCTCACTTGGCTTACAGATGGAATAATTTTTTTCTTTACTAATTTACTGATTTTGTTGTTTAAGTGGTTTTATTGCTTAAACTTGATTCTTTTCATATAATGTTTTCCCTAACACAGATTCAGTGAGTTCTCTGCCAGCTACTTGAAACTGTAGAGCCAGCACTAAAATATGCAAGTGACTTCACTAAAAAGCTGGTCTGTGTGCTTCAGAAATTGCTTGTACTGGAGAAGGTAGGATTTTCACACTTAGTAGTAGATTTGTCTGTTTGGAGTAATAGAAAATGATTTAAGTTTAATAAAAAACAAATAGATTGCAAATTCACATACTTGAGCACAGATAAGAACTCCTGGTACCAGAAAGGTGGATCGTTCTTGTATGACCCAGATCCTGATCTCTTTCTTTCTCAGATCATGTGACTTCGTGGGTGTAACTTGATTCTAAACCACACCTCCTGGTTTCTTGCTTTTAAAAAAGGTTGCTAGGACCAGCTAGTAAAGGTTGATTTACATTGAGAATGGCATATAGCTCTGATCACAGTCACACCCAGAAAAGTCTGAGTCCTTGGGATAAGAAAGAACTGTTAGTGTGATTAAGCTGTTACCTTCTTAAAGGAGAATGAAAGAATTTGGCAAGTAAGAGCTAGGAAGAATAACAAAAGTCTCAGTTGGATTTGAGGGCATATATGGGAGAGAAACATCTGAAAATAAATGTATCTGAGGGATAAACTTAGTAACAAATCTTGTTTGAAAATCAGAGGATGGGGTCTAGTCTCAGTAATGGGGAGTGGTTCAGTGGTTCAAGATGATGTTTTAGTATTTATATAAGAAGACTGTGCAAGATTATGAGGTTGATCCTCGAGTCAGAAATTAAAAATAAACATATGAGATTTTGTAGTCATAGAATAACAGAAATCTCTGAGAAAGAGGATAGAGCAGACAAGAAAATATTTGATTGTTATTTGCCATAAAGCTTCCAAGTTTACAAATTCTGTTCCTTAGGGCTACCACTGGTATCCTGTTCAGATCAGAGGGGAATATTTTTTATTTTTATTTTTTCTCTTCTTGGTGCATAGTTTATCTTTTTTGAAGCAGAGACAATTTGCCATTCACTAAAGGTGGGATTTTGAGTGATGTCTGATTCTTTCTGTGGTATTAGGCAAGTAGTCCTGGCCTGGCATAAGGATCTAGTGTCTATATTCAAAGTTAAATCAGTTTACCCCAGACAAATGGGAAGGGAGAAGTGTTTCCATTTTCTTCCCACTGCTGCACCCTTCTGTATTCCCAAGGTGATGTAGGTCTTTTCATCTAACATGTAGTTGGAGGCACTTAAAATGTGGCATCCTGGAACTCTGGTATCTTGCTGTTGTGCATTCAAGTTTTGCGTCTTTTTCAAATTCAATTTCAAATTACATGAAAAATGCTGAGGAAATGTTTTGGACTTGGTTTTGAATGGATTCTTGCAATGCAGGAGACTGGATTAAACACTGCAGATGGTATTGAACCCTTTATAAGGATATATATTTTTTTATAAAGAGATTAATTTTTCTAAAAAATAATTGTAGTGACTAGTCCATGTTCACCCAACAATTCAGTCAGAACTGGGCATATAACCAAAATTTCCTATCTACAAGGTCACTTCATGACCTTTATTTCCATAAAGATCTCTGCAAGAGGAGCAGATTTATCTGGAAGAAACCACTGTCTAATTAGTGATATTTGTAAATATTGTGGAGGTGTTTGAACAACAAATGCAAAGCATTTTTAAAATAGTTTTATCTTTTACATTTTAAATAGAATTCCGTTTTCAGGGATTTATTAGCAATACTAAGCCGGAAACTTGCAAACTCTTTGATAGTTTTGAAGTTTTGAATGTCTCAGAGTAGGCCGTTTTAAGATAATCACAACTTATGCAAAATTACTGTCTATTCTTTTTGTGGAACTGTGGAAAAAAGCCCCAAAAAGCTATATTTCTTTCCTCTTAGTTATAGATTTGTGGATTGACAGGAAAATTTGCTGTTTTCATGCATCCTGATTACTGTACAGTGTTTGTTACTTCTTCGTGAGTTAGTCTGAGCAGACTACGGGCTACAAGAAAATACTCTAAAATAAGTACATAGTTGGTTGCAAAACAAAGCTCGTAACTCACATTAAAATTTAACTGTCATACAGGGAGCATGAAGCAGAGCTACGAATGTCTTGTCCAGCCTAAGCTGGGTTGTTTTGTGTCAAATCAACTCCACATATTTCAGTGTTTTGTAATTTTTTTCTTTTTTTTTAATTTATCATTGACAGTATGTGGACAAATTTTCCTGCAGTAGAGGTATAAACTACATTGGAACTTTTTGGGTTTTTTCCTCCTCTGCTTTGTCAACAGCTATTGAGTAGCTACTTCACTCCGATGGTAGATTAGTGTGGAAAAAACCGACCCAGATATTCTTGCTTTCTTTTTATTGTTCTATGTGTTTTTATGTATTTTAGGTTATCACAGTTTAAAATTTTGGGAAGTTTTTGTAGAGCATGGTGATTTTCTGAGCCTGGTAGGACTGGAAGGTCTTTTGGTACTGCTTGCAGTTTTATTACTTACAAATAAATCAGCTTGTAAATTTAATAATAGTTCTTTTCATTATTATATGAAATGTAAATGTTTCCACTTCATGTTTACCATGAGCCAATCTGTCTAAATCTATTTTTCCATACTCACATAATGTACTACCTTCTACTTTTTAATGAGGTTGCAAATATGAACTTGTAAGAAGATACATCATAATGTTTCATACAAAAGTAAAAGTAACTATCGTTCTAGACCATACACTAATGGGTTCACTGTAGGGGTAGCTCTTGGAACAGATGGGCTCTGTATTTCATTCTGCCTGGCTTCTTGACTTACCTTCAGCTGAAAGTTTCACCTTTCCATTTTTGTGAAGCAGGCAGTGTAACTGATTTGATGAGGAGTACAATAAAAGAAATAGTTTATTTTTTCTGGAAAGGTAAAACCCTGATTTTGCTTTTTATACATGGAATAACAATGTTGTATTTTTTTTATTTGAAAAGCTGAGATACTGTATCACAGGAAAAGCTATAATCTTCATTGAGTGCTGCCTTAGCTGAAGTATACCAAAACTGTCAGTCTCAAATGGAAATGAAAATAGGCTATCTCCCTCTTTTCCACAGGCATTCCATTTTTGGAAGTTCATGGGCTCTGACTTTGTAGGTGCTGATTATTTTAAATAATTTATTACATGAAAAAGAAAACACAAAATTCAGGGTTTTATTTTTTTATTTGTTTTGTTTTTTTCAATCACTGTTGCTGCTTTTGAGAGACTTAGAGTTGGCAGTTCACCTTCTTCATTTAATGCTACAACTGTTGAAGCTTATTTTTGAAATATCAAATCACTTAATTATAGTTCAAAAATAAGACTTATTTGGCAGAATTCTCATTGCAGTAAAAGTCAGTTATCTGAAGCATTTATCATTTTATCTTCTCTCCTGTTCCTGGTACTATTGTTGCTTGAATTGGTTTCCTATTTATTTTTCTTTTCTGCTTTTATTCCTTCCCTTAAAATCAGGTTCACAAATAAGCTTTTTCAACAGCCAATTTATTGCTGTTTCACAGTCTGATATGTGCAGCTTTTGATTGCTTTTCTGTTAAATGGCTGGGAATCAACATTTGGTTCAGTAGTGTGCTGCCATTCTGAATTAGACAACTGTCATGAAATTATGTAATAACTCTCTGCCTTGATAACCTAAAAGTAAGGTTTTATTTAAAACAATTGTTTCTTCACTAAAAGGGTTGTCAAGCACTGTAACAGACTGCCCAGGGAAGTTGTTGAGCCTCCATCCCTGGGAATATTTAATAGTTGTGTAGATGTAGCTCTTAAGGACATGATTTAGTGGTGGACTTGGCAGTGGTAGGTTTATGGCTGGACTGGCTGATCTTAAAGGTCTTTCCCAAATTAAATGATTCTGTGATAAAAACTAATGATGTTCTTTTCCTTTTCTACTTTCAGAGAACTACCTATGCTTCAAAATGGAAGTGAGGAAGAAGAGTCCCCAAAAGTATTAATTTGAATAAAAATTATTGTTCTTAAGTAAGTACTTCTTGTTCTTTGTGATGTTGCGTCCACAACTGAAAACTGCTTTTCTGTTGATAAATCCTTGTCAGCTGAAAAAAGCAAACTTTGCAAAAGAGAGCTCCTTCACTTTTGTGTCAGATTACTGACTAAATTGGGTCAGTCACCTGTTTCACCTTTCGTTTTTCCTTACACCTATTTTTCTCCCTTCTCCTCCTTGCGTCTCATCTCTAAAAAAAAATCAATCTATCAAAACATTTTTAATGTATTCTTCATCTTAGGTACAAAGCCCTTATTTCTTTGACAGTATTTTTGAGCCCTTTCACCTGTATTGCAGATATTACATGTATTTTTCAAAGATACTTCGGTAGAAACTGGGCACAGGCCCTGTTCCGTGAAGTGTCTATGAGAGTTATAAGTAACTAAGCTTTTGTGGCTGTGAAGTATTGTGTGCTCTTGGATATCCTAGATCCAGTGCTAGATTTTTCTCATATGGTGACAACTATTAAAAAGTTAATACTTCATATTCTTACAGTTTTGAAGGTCTGTGCACGTATGATAATACTCATCTTTTAGGATACAATTTTTTATTTAAATAAAACTCTCTTCGTTTTAAGAAGTTGCTTGATGAAATGAACTTCACTGAAACATGGATTCAGGTGTAAACTTGGAAACCAAGAGCGTTATGACATTATTCTTTTTTTGATGCAAAGAAACAAACCAGGAGCGTTATGACATTATTCTTTTTTTGATGCAAAGAAACAAAAAAGACTGTTATGATCAGTATTCTTAATTATGATAAGGATAAAAAAGTTGTGAAAATGTCTTGAACTTTCACAACTGAACAAGAAGTTCAAGCAAATTTGTTGCAGATGAGATGCTTTTACAGTTCACTCAACTTCAGTACTGATTGTCAGGTTGATGACATCTAAAGTACTCCCAATTATTATGATTTATTTATACAGTTATAATTCTAGAAGTACTATGTTAGTGTAAGAGTTTAATGAATAGTTTAAAGAAAAAAAGAAAATATGGGATTTCAAATGATGTTTTAAGGACCTTGGGGTCAGAACAGAACAAAGAATATGGTGGTAGTTTTCCAAGCATCTAGTGTCTGGTTAGGTGCCTTGAAACTGGGTTAGCTGTTGTAACTGCTTCCTGTTGCTGAAAGGAGTTGTTTCCATTTCTGAACCCAGCTTTCTTCCCTATTCTGATGAAACTGGTTTACTGAATTATCTTACAAATGCAGAAAAGAGGTGGCTAATTTTGTTTCTGGGTTTGTGGATTGGATTAGCTCAGATAAGTGTTCCAGAAGTGTTCCAGTGGTGCAAAGGAAGAAAGAAGACTGCAGGCAGGAGCAAATAGTATGGGAGCATAACCTGTCCCTCCAGGCAGCAGCCAGTAGTCAGTGAATCTGTCCAGCAGGTTGCAGTAATGGTGTCTTAAAGTTGTTAGACTGGGAATTGATAATTTGACCTTGGAGAGGAGCAGACATGGCTTCTATGAAAACTTTAGACTAGAATTGGCTAATTTTGGTAGATCCTGCATTGCTGTTAGTGGTAATGACCTGTTGATACAGAATAGAAACAATGATTCAGAGGGAAAAAATCTTAGCAGATAACTAGAAAATCTGTAATGATCTTCCCCCATCTACCTGCTGCCCTCCAGCTCTTCAGCCCCATGTGTAGTATCTGTGTAGTATCATGTGTATTATCTCCAAGTCTTGAAAATGAATGAAAGGTACATGTGAAGAATTGCATGACTTGTCAAAACCTCACCTCTAATCAGAATTGGTTAGTCCCTTGTATATGTTACATAGTACAGTAATTTGTCTGTATCTTGGTTTACAATTTTGTAAACTAAAATTTGTTTGTTTGTTAGAGCCTGCATGAATGCATATGTACTTAACTTATAGTTTTATACTTCATGTTGTGTTCACACTGTCTTGATTTGTCTGTAAGCTGTGATGGTGGTTGTACCTTCTGTAGAGATGTATTCCTTCCTTTGGCAAGAACAAGGAACAGTGGTTGAAAACTGCATGAAACCTCTTCTTGCCTTTTCTGTTCCATCTGTATGGGAAGTTAATTAAAAGGATTTGTTCAGGTCTATAAATTGCAGTGCCTGGAGCACTAGTTAAGCCAATGGTTTTGTACGCATTGCTCAACTACTAAAGGGAGATTGAGCAGTGGAGCAAAGCTGATTTAAGCTTAGTGTCTAGGTAAGATGTAGGTAGTGCTGGTAGGTTGAGACAAGTAACTGAGTACTAGAGTGAAGGTGATACCTTCCCCATATTACTTGATTATGCAATCTATGGATTGTGTTGGATTCCTACTTCCTGTCAGAATGCATAGCAAGCTGCATTTGGAATTACTTTTTGCTATCACAGTCTGGCTTGGAAAAACTATATTTAATCTATCTACTAATTTAATATTTTTTCCTGTTTCTTTACACATGTACAAACATTTCCATGGTAGTCTTTCCCTTTTTTTTTCCAAATCATATTTCACACTTAGTTCAGTTGTGAACTGCAATTTTGTAGTTTATTAAAAAAAGAAAGATCAACTGCACATTTTTTATTACATTCTAAAATACTTTCTTATCCTTTCTTGGGCATTATGTAAGTTAGATTAATCTGTGATAGGCTTTTGAAGATAAACTAATCTCCACAAAAGGCCCGTATATCTTGAGTTTTATTTGTTGTAAGGGCACCTAAAATCTCGGATAGATATTCACTGTTTCTACATATCTAAATAGATCAGTGTATGATTCCTGATGGAAAAAGAAAATATGTTTTCAGAAGGGTATATTGCTGAATTAGCCCTGCCCTTTTATCAAGACCGTTTATCTGTGGTTCTGGAGTATCTAATACCTTTCTTGCTTGCTACAGATTTCCCCCTTGCCTGAGGATCAGCAAAGTCTGTTTCTTGTTCTGAAACATTTTGTTTCAGTTCACTCTTCTATTCTGGTGGTAATTTAGCTTGGATTCCTGCTTGAAAGATGGCTTATTGCTTCTCTGACTCTCTGAAATATATTCTCTATTAAAAGTGCTTTCTATATAAGTCAGATGCAGCAGCACAAACAACAGTCTTTCACATTTTTCTTTTCAAGAAAAGAGGTTGCTAATGTATCCATTGACTTGCACATTTACTGCAGTGAAAAATGATACCAAATTGAGACACTGCAGAGAGGTTGGAAAACTAGAGTAGGATTTTACATGAAGCAACACATTAGAATGGTCGGGGGAAAATGGGATACAAACCATTAAGGGCAAACTTAAAATACTACTTTTAAATTAAGGAAAAAGAAAATAGGCAAGTACAGGATAAGAAATGGCTGAGAGTTCTGAAGAAAAAGATTGAGAGTTAAACACTGACCTTAAATCAACAGTATTGTGCACAAAAAGTAGTTCTGAAAATGTAACATCACATCAGGATAAATAAATGGAAGTGCTGTCATAAAACACCATGTAAATCTCTCTGCATAGCTTAGGAGTGGAACCACCAAGGTCATTGTGTCCAGTTTGGAACCAGGCACTTAGTACATGCAAACAAATCAAAATTATATTGCCAAATTGGAGAGTGCAGAAGAAAATAGTATCCAAGATCATAACACTGGATCCAAGACTAAGAGAAGTTGAAATAGTATGAGGCTGAATTAATGCAGAGAGTAAGTGTTGCTATTCTAGGTCTTTTGGAAGACCATAAAACCTAACGAGCTTACATTTTTACCAGTGGAGATTAATGCATTGTGGCTTATGAAGCACTGCAGTAGACTGGGAAGAGCATATGTCTGTCTTTGGAAGTTCATAAAATGTAGTCAGACGCAAGAGCTTGTGTGATATCCTGTTGGAGGAGAGGAGTGATCTAATAACTTTCTGATAATCTTACTACATTTCATGATTTAATGTCTAGTTTCTAGATGTTTTGGTTTTGGGAGTTTTCTGTTGTTTTTTTTTTCCCCTCTTAATTGTCTATCTCTTTTGTGAGTGGAGCATAGGGAGAGCAGCTTTTTGCAAAAGATGCCGAGAAGCAGCATAGAATTCTTTATACAGAAAGCAGTCTTTTTATTTTAAAATTTTTTTAGCCTAAATATTTTCTTCCAACGGACCAGGTAACAGGTAACTTTTTATCTTGAATGGATATAATTTTAAACTTAAATAGTCCAAATCTAAAACACTGACTGAAAATTTGAAAAAACTAGACATGGTAACCTGGTGGATATTATTTGGTTCCAAGTTAGTATTATTTTTATAGTGCCTGAAAAATCAAATTTCAAATATCACTGATAACTTACCCCTTTTAAAAATATCTATGATTAGACTGTTAAATTAATCAAAACCTATGTGTTGACAAATTGTTTAAGGGGACAAGATCAGAGCAAATAGCCAGGCAAGAAGTCTATTTTGTCTGCAATGTTTTTTGCTTCACAAGTTCCTGCAGTTAAATATGTGAGGATCTATGTCACAGGATTTTTTTTTTTCATTTTGTGTTGAATATGAAGAAAGAAATTGTACTTGTCATGGTGACAAGAACAATATGAGGATAAATATCAAGGCAACACCTACAATATAGAAGTATTCTGCGGTTGTTTTGACTTTGCTCTTTTTTAATGATGTAATTATACTATACTAATAATTCTGTACTTTATTGTTTTGATTATGTTAAATAGTGGCTAATAAACACTTCTGAAATTGGAAGAACCTGTTGGCCTAAGAAAATCTTCATTTAATTCTTTTTACACTTCAGTCTTGGTGGAATTTTTTTTGTTACTTTTATTCTTAAACAACTGTTGAAATAAACCAAATCTAAAGGGAATAAGAAAAATTAGATGCTTGCCAGTATGTATAAAAACCCAATCAAGACAGAGGTTAATTATGGGATGATTCACTTGAAATTGATCCTAATGGTACAGTCTTTTTATGAGATTGATTTTTCCTAAGCATATTTGTTGTAACTCATGTTAACTGTATTAAAATTCGTTAATGAATGCAAAAACTGTCAGTAAGCAGGGAACTTTCA